ACAGTGAATTCCACTCCTTTGTACAACTAGTGTGTGCTAATAGTAGTAACAAATTGTGTCCCCTTTAGTACTAACTCTGAAGATAATGTTGGTCTTTCTACTTATACAAGAAGACAAGCTAAAAGTAATGGAGTATAAGTGTTTTCTAGAACAAGACCTCAGAGATGAGGAAACCCCAGGCATCGTTTCCTCAGGATGAAGTCCACCATTTTGGAGAAGGAAGTAAGGCTCTGGGAGGTTATGTGATTCTCTAAGGTCAGATAACAAACAAGTCTTTACAGGGGAGGATTTTAAAAGGAGAAAGACTTATGTGATCTGAAGAGAAACCAGAGTATATGGGGAGGATTTTAGAACCTTCGCCTCCTCCACCCTTCACCGTATCATTAGGGATATGACTAACCTAAAAAATTCTAAGAGGTCAAGGTTCAAAAAGAGGCAACAGACTCCCAGTAATTGAGTCCTTAATTATAGTGCATTTAACTCAATTCATCCCTGTACCTCACCTGCCTCACTGTTCCCAATCCCTACATTCCCACCCCCATGCCTCTTAAGGTACACTATTAATGACATCAAAAGGAAAAAGATCAAAGGGGCTACATTTCACCAAACCTCCAATTATCATTATCTCACAGACGCCTAAGTTATTAAAGAGAAAATAGCACTCCCGGAAAGCAAGGAACACAGCCAACTACCCCAGTATTTTTTCAGGAGGGGACAGGGGAATGGAAATGAAGACATGAGTCACTGGTGTGTTACTTTAGAAAGTTCCCAGCCTTCCTCCCACACTGCCTCAGTTTCCTTATCTGAAAAAGATGGGAACAAGCAGCACATCTCAACTGAAGATGAAGAAAGACCAAACACATGGCTCCAAAGGAAGCCTGGGGCCCAGTTCCCGGGCACGCAGCGTGCTGTACAAATGCCAGGGCCAGGGACAACCACAGGATGTCAACTCCTGTCCCAGGCCAGGAAACAAACTCAAGTGTTCCTTCTGACTAGCAGGCCTAACAGCAGTGTTTCCCCTAAGATTACTGTGCCATTTTCTCTTTTTTCCCCTTTGTTTACAAATGACAGAATAAATTACGTTCCAAGAAGAAGAAAATCAAATATCATATGAATTAACTTATTTAAAAAAATAATCACAGGGACACTATAAGTATTGACGGAGTAAATGAAAATTTAAGCCAAACACATTTATTCCTGCTCTGAAAGACAGCAAAAGAAATTCTGTAGTTTTATTGGATGTTAGAGGCCCCCCAAATGTATGTTGAAATTCTACATACATGAAACATATAAAAACTCTGAAAATTTTTGGGAAAATGTGATAACGGCTTTTGAAAACATCTCTACTGTTTATTTTTAAAAATTCCTCTATTACTTGTATAACTGGTTCATCTAGAATACACCTACATCAACATAATTATTCTGATTTTAGATTTCTTTTTTTTTTCTGTTTTGTTTGTCTTTCTGAGTCAGGGTCTTGCTATGCAGATCAGGCTAGTCTTCTTAAACTCATATATGTAGCCGAGGCTGGCCTTCAACTCTCAACAATCCTCCTGCCTTGGCCTCCCAAGTGCTGGGATTACAGGTGTGCGCCATCACACTGGCTCAAATTTCATTTTTAATCTTGTATTTTAAAAAACTGTATAGTCATTGTGCGGGCAACTACAGGATAACAGAAAACAGTTTACATTTATTTAAAGACTCAACAAAAGAAATCTTCCTCACTCTGCAAGTTCAAATTGCTTCTAGGGGTAAATTCTGTTGACTACCCTCCTCATGCTGGGTAGAAGTTCCAGGCCTCATGGGGTGTTCCGTGGGCTCAAAGCCCAGCACTCAAAGCACCACATTCTGTGAGGTGGTATAATTTAACCAAGAGCAGCAGGACTCAAGCCCCAACACCTTAGTCTTCTTAGAGACCTCTGGACTTTGTTATTTTAAAGCCAGGTGTTGTTATCTCTCCTGGCTGAGGTACTCACTAGTACAAGCCAGGTGCCCTGGGGTCAGCTGAACTATTTCAGGCCTTTATGCTACTTAAGAGCTGTGAGCCTGGAACTAACCGCAGTGCATCACTGGCCTTCGTGCTCCCCAAGTATTAATGAGCCCCCGGGACCCGTTTCCTACCAGGGACCCCTTTCCTACCAAAGAATTTGTTCTCAAATATTATTTAGAGTTTCTAAAGATTTGCATAGTGGCTACTGCTGCTTCAGAAAGTGAAACTTGAAGATTTAAAATAGTAATGTTAAAACAGCAGAAATACAGCCAGGAACAAAGAGTTTTAAAAAATATATACAGAGTAAAATCAAAGATAGATAATAGGAAGCAGGGGGGTCTTTCTCAAATGGGAGTGGAAAGGAGATGGAGGGAAGGGAAAAGGAGAGGGAAAGGTAATGGAAAGAAAGCACTGAGTGAAAAAATGGACACAAAGTTTTTGCAAACAGGAAGGGGACCGAGAGCTGGAAGGAGTGCAGAGGGAGGGGAGGGAAGGGGGAGCAAAAAACAGCGAAGGTGTGTGACATACACCAGCCAACTCCCCAAGATAACGCTCTCTGTGTGTACTGCAATCGCGGGCCAATGGAAGTTTATAAAAGTGTGCTCCCTGATGCAGCCCTGTCACACTAAAAACTGTACATGTTCAAACAGACACGACGTCACCGGAGGCTGCATGCCAGGCTGCGTGCTAGAATCTAAGAAGTTGCTTCGTCACAAAGAAAACAACCCCAAAACTTCTTAGAAGAACCACAACCTAAATGTGTCGACCTCAATAGAGAGAAAAGAATCTACACACACACACACACACACACACACACACACACACACGCAAAATCGTCCATAAAACAAAATAGACCCTTTATTTCCTTTGAAAGGCAAACTTTACACGATCATATTACATGGCAGCATCCTTTTCTTCAGGTAGTGGCAACTAGGAGGATGCACTTCATTTTTAAATCTCTAAGTAGTAATAAGATGGAAAACAAAAATTCTCTGAACTACTATATTATACACCTCACAGAAAACTCAAGAATTTTTAAAACTTCCAGATAGCTGTTCTTCCCTGTTTTTAATCTTTATCTACTAAAAATGCCAAGAAGTATGGGCAGATTAAACCTGTTCAAACTGTCACAAGATCAGTACTTCTTCATTGTGATAGAAATTTTGATTTAAGTATAGTAATTTATATGACTTACTGCATTAGCTATTTGAAAGTTATTTAAGAAAAAGCTGACCATCCCCCTCACAAAAGAAAGACATTTCAGATGTGTGCGGCCTCAGAGGATTAAACTCCTGTGCAATGTTCTGTAAAAAGTTTGGAACCTATGAATCAGCCAGCAGTGAAAAAAGGGAAGGAAAAGGAGAGGACAGAATCTAAGAAAGAGTAGAAATAAGCTGAGCATGGTGGTGCATACCTGCAATCCCATGACCCCAGGAGGCTGAGGCAGGAGGATCACAAGCTTAAGCTTAGCCTGGGCAACTTAGTGTTTTAATGAGAGCTTGTCTGAAAATAAAAATTAAAAAAGGGTTGGGGATATAGCTGATTAAGAAGGCCCTGAGTTCAATCCACAGCACTGGAAGAGAGAGAAATGACAGAGACAGAGATAGAGACAGAGATAGAGATAGAGATAGGGATAGAGACATAGATGGAGATGGAGACAGAGACAGAGACACAAAGATGAAGATGAAGACAGAGATGGAAATTGAGATCAAGACATAGACATAGATGGAGATAGAAACAGAGATGGGGATAGAGATAGAGACATAGACATAGACATAGAGATAGATGAGATGGAGATAGAGATAGAGCAAGAGAGAGTAGAAGAGGAAAGAAAGGGGGAAGGAGGAAAGGGAAAGAAAAAGGGAGAGGGACGAAGGAAGAGAAAAAAAAAAAGAGTAGTTCTACAGCAGACTAAGAGAACAGTCTGTCCAAAACTGATCACTTAATACATAGTTCGATAATCTATGAGAATAATACTGTATTTGCATAATAATACAGTAACTGCTATTTAGCTTTTCTGCTTTCAGATTCAATCAAGACATAAAACATAATAAAAGAGCACAACTTAAACATTATTTTTTCCCTCACAGTGCTGGGATGAATCCCAGCAACAAGCACATTCGTGCTGACGCTGCAGAGCATGGAGTGCCGCTGTGAGGGCTGGGTCACCAGGGGCAGAGGAGAAAATTCAGCAAGCTCCACGTCCTAGACTGTGTATTGGGCAGTCAAAGTCACTGTTTAAAGGCAATGAAGTAATACAGATGAAGTACAATACTAAAGAATTATTGGGGTAATCCAAGAGGAAATATGGTAACTAGCTGAGAAACGTTTACGAAGTTAAATTCTCTGTCTTTCAAAGTAGCAACTTGGGCTACAGGCTATGGTGGCACAGCCTTTTTATACCAGTACCTGGGAGGAGGATGTAGGAGAATTCAAGGCCAGCCTGGAATAGAAAGAGAATTCAAGCCCAGCCTAAACTAGAGCAAGACCTTGTCTCAGAAAAACAAACAAGAAAAGCAAACAAAAACTTAAAAACCCGAAGAACAAAGTAGCAACTTAAGTCAATTTTCTTTTTTGTGCTGTTTTGTTTCTGTCTTCATTGTTGTTGTTTTGTTATTGCTTTTTTCTCTTTAAAATAAAAAAGCGGCGGGGGGGCGGGGCGGGGAATGGAGTTGTAAGTATGTTGCTTACCGAATAGAAGCCACTACTCAAAAACCTAAGGAGGAAGGAAACATAGAAGAGAGAGCCTGAGATGGAAGGAGGAGAGGGACAGGGAAGAAAGGGAACCCACTGAATGTACTTCTGACTTTGAAAAACTTTCCCGTCTACATCTTCCCTGTGTCTCACTGCTCCTAGCAATGCCTGACCCTGGCCAAAACACACTGGGTTGCCCTTCATAGTCCATGGGAAGAGAATAAACTGCAAACATGAATTTAACTCCCAAGTACATAAATGAGCTGCTTCTCAGTTCTGAGAAGCCCAGCGGTGTGCTGGACAGCTGCAGACCTACCGTGAAACTTGTCGGCTTCGGGATCGTTTGCATTGATAGCAATCAATTTCCAATCTGTTTCACCTTGATCAATGAGTGCCAAGACACCAAGGATCTTCACCGGGACAACCTCTCCGCGAGAAAGAACCTTTAACGAGAAAAGACATCACTGTGGTGGGGTTTTGGAGAGTTGGCCATGTCTTAAATCCATATGAAAGAGGGAAAGCACCATGGGTCAAAATTAATAGTTTCAATAATGAAATAGAATGTAAAAATACATAGTCATAAAATCTGCCTTGAAACATCCCTTTTAGAATCTCAAAACATTTACTTCAACCAACATGGGACTAGTGATTAAAAGAAAATATCTTGTCCTTTTAGAAAAGTGGAAAAGATGCATGAAATCCCTCTTTGCAAACATTAAATGACAGGCATGCAGGATTGGGTCCCAGAGTGAAGACAGGAGCTGAGAGAGGCCCAGCGGCCAGCTAGGCAGAGCCACACTTTCTGGGCTGAACACAGGATGGGGACCCCGTGAGAGCTAGGGTCTCAAAACAGAATTAGCAGGAGCCAAGGAACTAGGATCAGGGCAGAGACACTTCCTCCCTGGAAGGCCTGATACTGCCTATCTTGGAGGGGAAACAAGTTCCATGAGCTGTCAGTTTCATTTTTTTTCCAGGCTCATCTTACCAACATATAATCAATATTGTTTATATCACGGTATTATACGTAACTTACGCTCATTTTACCAACATGTAATCCATATTGTTTATATCATGGTATTATATGCAACAGAGAGGCAGAACTTGTTTTTGTAGAAATGCTGAGTGCAATTTTAGTTTTGTGTTTTCTTAGAAATGCTGAGTGCACTTTTAGTTTTATGTTCTAAAGAACAATGTGTGCAACTCCATGTTTTTAGGAAAACAGTACTGCCAGTAAAAACAAACTAGCAAACAAATGCAGGGAGGATAAGGCAGCTAGAATTTGCAGTACTGGAGATGAGAATGAGCTCCAGCAGTCTCCCTGGGGCTCTTTGGTGACACTAATGAAGTAGTGACCAAGCTCGGAGAAACTCAGGAGCTGGAAGAGGAGCTCAGGCACCTAGGGAACCTCACAGGCAAGATGGCCCTGGGAATGGCATCCCTGGGGGCAGAGCAGACCAGCCTCAGGGAAAGGTTCCTCCACCCCTGCCCTAAAAAGGCTTTTTTTCTTAAAATCCCCAGAAACATGATAATCCATAAGTAGCCACCTACCAAAAAATATTCTATAAAGCAAGGAAAATCTATTCAACATCAGTCACAACAGCACCAATTCTTTCAAGAAACAGGAAAACATCAGCCCCCAGGGAAGCAGATCATTCAACAGCAACAAACCCAGAACTGGCTCGTGGTAGGACTAACAAATAGGAACTTCAGAACAGCTTCTGTCAATATGCTTGAGGATGTAAAGAAAAATGTAAAAATATGGAGGAGAGAAATGGAAAATAAGAAAGAGCCAAATGGCAACTTCAGAGCTGAAAAATACATGATCTGAAATGGAAAATCCTCTGGATGGATTTAACAACCAAACAGACACAGTAAAGGAGAACTTTAGCGGACTTGAAGGCACAGTAACAAGAACGATTCAAAGTGAAGCACAAGGACAAATCAATAGTCCCAGCGACTGGTGGCACAGCAAGCCTTCTCCTTTACGTACGGCTGGAATCCCAGCAAGGAGAAGAGGAAGCGGAAAATATTTGAAGAAATAATGTCTAAAAGTTTCCCAAATTTTGTGAAAAATATAAATCTACTGATTGGGAAAGCATAAAATAAATCAAATGAACACACAAAGAAACTAATCTTATGCACATCATAATCAAATTCCTGAAAACCTAATACATAAAATAACTAAAAGCAGATAGATGGGGTAAAGAGTACAAATAAGAGTACAAAAATAAGAATGGTATCTGATTTCTCTCTCTTTTTTTTTTTTTTTTTGCCTTTTTGAGACAGGGTCTTGCTATGCAGTTTAGGCTGTCCTTGAGCTCACTTTCTAGCCCAGGCTGGACTCAAACTTGTAAAGATCCTCCTGCCTCAGCCTCTGAGTGCTGGGATTATAGGCATGCACCACCATGCCTGGCTTATTTCTCTTTAAAAAGCAATGTACAACAAAAAAATGAAGTCTTCAAAATTCTTAAAGAAAAAGGCCACCAGTTCAAAAGACCTATGGTCAGAGAGATTTCCAAAGGGGCAAGAGAGGACCTCCCTGCCCCAGGTGACAGAAATGGTCTGTATTCTGACTGGAACACATGGAAATGATGTGGGTCTGACATCTGTCCAAAGTCACTAACTATAAGCACATTTTATTCAATGTTAAAGAAGTAAATGGAAGCAACTTAGTCACAACCAAAGGGCTATTTCTTATATATGAAGAGCTGTTAGAAATAAAGAAAATCATGAAAAACACAGCTGGAAATGGGAACAAATCATGACAAGCAATTCACTGAAGGAAAACCCAAAACAGCTGTTAGTGGTATAAACAGATGCCTAGGGTCACACCTATTGGGACCTGGAGGTTTAAATGAACACCTGACCCCAACCCTCTCTGGATCTCGCTTTCTCTTCTTGGCGGGGAATCTTGCTGGCTGCCAGCTCTCCATCTATGCAGAGGATTCCTTTTTCTGTTCTATCCAAAGAAGTGAGAAACCCAACTAACATCTGACTTCACTCTCCTGACCGAAATACCCCAGGAATCGCAGACGTTACACAGCACATTCAAGTGAGGCTGCGTCCCACTGCTCTGTGACCGAGAACATTTACAGATGAGTGAGAATCAAAGACAAATGCAGGGCCCAGTAAGAGAAACGAGGAAAGCAGTCGCGAAGCTGGCCCACATCCTCACAGCAAAACTCCTCTTGTCACGCTCAGCTATCCTGGAAGAACCAGAAGTTTTGCTAAGAATAACTTATCCCTTAATGCAGACCTATAAACTTTCACATGATGATGCATGCTCAAATTGAAAAGTTAAGAAATGTCATTTTACTAATGATAAATTTTTAATTTAAAAATCAAAATAAAGCCAGGTATGGTGAGGCACATTTGTAGTCCGAGTTTCTCAGGAGGCAGAAGAGGGAGGATCATTTAACCCCAATGGTCTTCGACTACCCTGGACAGCACAGTGAGATGCTGTCTCAAAGACAAATAAATAAAACAAAATGTGTTTTTTTGTTTTGTTTTGTTTTGTTTTGTTTTGTCTTTTTGAGACAGGGTATCGCTATGCAGTAACCTTGAGCTCACTTTGTAGCCCAAGCTGTCCTCGAACGCACAACCATCCTCCTGCCTCAGCCTCCTGAGTGCTGGGATTATAGGTGTGCGCTACCATGCCCAGCTCAAACAAAATGATTTTTTAAAAAATCAAAATAAAATCACTTTCTCTAAGTAAAAACATAATTCATGTATTTTAAAAATATGGCAACATGAAAGTAGATAGTTTAAACCTATCGCATTTTGATGTTCATATTCAACAATGAAATATATATGTATATATATACATACATATATATATTTAAGGTATCTATTAGACTTAGAATAAACTCTTTCACAACATTTGCAAAATGATCCTAAGATCTTAAAATAAATCTGTGTGAAGCTATACTTAGTTTACACAGCAGATGAATGTGATTGTACAAACTAACTGAAATCTCACTTGTGGGGAACAGACACAATTATATTAACCAGGTCCACAAAAGTTCAGCCTCTAGTATGTACTGAGCACTGTATCATAAGCAATTAGTATATAAAAAAAAAATTCCCGTTTTCAAAGGTCTACAGTCTTGTTTGAGAGACTTATACACTTGAGGCCAGGCTCACACACTGGAAGACACAGCACGTGTAAGTTCAGAGGCATGATCAACACTGTGACATTACAAACACCACTCTCAGCTCCAAGGCAGTGGCCCTGCTCCAGGCAGCAGAGTCAGGGGCATCTCTGACAGAGACTAATACAATCAAAGGACACAAGGATCAAAGTAATCAGAAAACTGTCACAACCCTATGGATACAGGAGATCTGGATGAGGTTACAGTGGGTCATATGCACAGGGGAAGATGCAAGAGGAAGAATAAAAGGAGCAAAAGAGAAAAAAAAGAGTCTTTACCACACTCAGTGGGGGGGGGCCCTGGCCACGGCCCCCGTATTCCACCTTTCTCAGTGTCCACAAGATGACGACATCCGCATTTCAGAAAAGAGGACACTGAGATCACAGAGCTTGGAGCACAGACCCGGAGTCCACACCTGCAGGGAACCAAAGCTCTGCTCCTTGCAAGGTTGGGGGAAAGGGTGAGCAGCCCCACCTAGGGGCAGAGAGTGGCCGCACCTGGTAACAGGCATGCTGATGTCAGGTCATGCGTATGTACACTTCCATAGCTCAGCAAAGCTGGGGATATCACATGCTCAGCTACAGCTTTAAAAAATACATTGGTTGTTTTTCTAGATAAAACACCCACATTTGTTTTAGGTGAAATGTGACATATAAACTTATTTGAGTTAAAAATTAACTGCAATATAATTTTACGCCACTAGCATGACCATTATTAAAAACAAACAACAAAAACCTCAGCGGATGGGAGAAACTGCAACCCTGCCGCACTGTGGGTAGGACCATAAAATGCTATAAAAAAGAGCTTATCGGTTCCTCCATAGGCGAAAGCTGGAATTACCACACGCATGACCCACCAATTCTAGGAGAAAGACATGAAACAAGATGCCCAAACACGAGCTTGTAAAGGAACACTGGTAGCAGCAGGAGTCATAACCATAGCTAAGTGTGTGTTGGGTCAGGAGGGTTCGTGACAGAAGCTGTAACATGGATGAACCTGCACAGTGCGCTACGTCCAAGAAGCTGGATACAGAAGGCTCCACCTTCTATGCTTTCATGTATAGGAAACGTCCCACGTAGGGAAGTCTACGGAGATGGTGGATTAGTGGTTGCCAGGGGCTACTGAGAGAACAGAACAGCAGTGGCCACTGTGCAACCGTGAGTGTGTGGCCCACACTGAATTTAATGAACACCTTAAAATGGTAGATTTAAAGCTATGTGAATTCTAAATCAATTGCAAATTCAGTCGTCAATGACCTGGAACGACGGAAATTGCTCTTACTTTTATTGTAC